GAGGCCTTCACCTTTTAAATCAATTCTTAGATACACTTTTTTTTTTTCTTCACGTTTTTACCATCTCTGGATTCTGCATTGATCTTATAGTAGATGACGTTATGGAATTGTTGCTGGCTGTCTTTTATTTACATTGTGACATCTCCAAAACTGGAACGCACCCTGTAGTTGATGGCTTATTGGGTCTGATCTGTGGTCCCAGACAAAGCTGACTCCTCTGGGAGGTGATGGCTGCACCATGAGCTGCAGAGCTGGTACTGGTATGGCAGTAAGCCTGGGACATGCTTCTCACTTACCTCTCTTACTACACTCTGGCTAGCAAATCTCATAAATTATGAGAATTCATTGCCGTTTTAAACAACTTGCCTTGCCCTTAGGGACACATAAAATACAACATTAAAACGTGACAAAAAAAAACAACAGAAAATCCCCGGAAGAAACTAGTACATGAAAGCAGTTTTGTTTTTAGAGAGGTTTTTGCTATAGGGCGCATGTGCTTGCCAGAGAGACAGAAGACAGAAAGTGAGAAATCACACCCCAGGGAGTATGGCCACACCACAGCCCCTTCTCCATTCTCCTCTTGGGATTTTTGACATGCATGCACATGTGCCTGGCGTGAGTTTTAAGGTGCCGTGTCCAGGATTTGAACCATGATCAACCGTGTGGGAATCCAGAGACATAATCATTATACCATCTGTTGGTCCCTTTAAGATGGCTTTCAGTCAGTAGTTACAAGTTGAATGGATAGAAAGAAGGGTGGGTGCATGAATGAACTGTGAGTTAGAAAGGCATTCTGAGACAGAAATCGTGCTGACAGGCCTCTCCCTGTGTGAATGCACCGATGTTCTCTGAAAGCAATACTTACAGAAAACGAAGATCCAAAGTTACATTCTCCCTTGGCCACTGCTCCCTGTAGACACACAGGAGGGGACAGCCCGGGAGAGAGAAGAAGGCACACACTGAAGGGCTAAGGGGGGTGACACTGTCGCGTATATAACTAACGAGCACACATTCATAAGGGCCTTCTTAGTTGGAGAAAACAGCATCTCCTATTGTGCTGAGAAGGTGTTTGTCAGGTAAGTCACTGTTTAAAGCGTAGGACGATGCATGTCCCTAGGCACGTTCTCCAGATCTGAGCTGAATTTCTCTGAGAGGGGATGCGAAATTTGCTTTTACAAAAGCCGGGAATGGGAGCCACCTGCGTGACCAACTCAGAAACCTACATGTTGACAGAAGACCGGGTGTAGAGTCAGCCGGTCTCGTTGGGTGGCACTTCTCCACGAGGGAGAAGCGGGGAGACCTTTGTTTCCGTATCCTATGTCCATGGATGGGCCAATTATGTATCTTCTTCAAGTAAATCGTCCTACACGGAACACAGAATTGAATTGGGGTACTGTGAAAAAACCTGTCTTGTTCTAAAGAGTTGAATAATGGTTCTTCTTTATGCAAATCTTACGAACTGAATTGGGTAAACCTCTTTGCTTGTAAGGAAAAGTTCTCCCTGCCAGTACGAGAGAAGAGGACGACAGCCGCTCGGTGCTCCTGTCTAAGCTGGGGCCACATGGGAGGCCTGGGATTGGGTCCCAGACAAGCCCAAGCAGGCCAGGCATGGCAGTGCTTACCTGTCGTCCTGACTAACTGAGAGGCTGTGGTAGAGGATCGCAAAGGCAAGACCATCAAGCAAATACCTTATTCTACATGCTCTCTGCCCTCTGTCTTCCTCTCTTCCTTGTCCCACTTGGTTCTCCCATGATCATTTGCACTCTCTGTCATTAAAAAAAAAAATAAAAAAAAAGACAAAGCATAAGAACAGAAAGAGGGCAGGTTGGGACCAGCACATGGCATAATGGTTACATCGCTGGACTCCCATGTAGTCGACCACGGTTTGAGTGCTGGACCCAGTGACTAAAAACTCACACTGGGCGTGTGCGCATGAGAGGAGAATGGAGGAGAAGGGATTGTGGTATGGCCATCCCCCAAGTCTTGCGGAGGGTGGGGGGTGACTTCCCATTTTCTGTCTCTCTCTGTCTCTCTGGTGAGCGCATGCACGCTGTAACAAAAATCTCTCTTAAAAAAAGAAGAGAAAGAAAGAAAGAGGGCAGGTGTTAGTAGCAGTGTGGATTGAGCTTGACTTGGAGAGTTGGAGAGTTCTCAGAGCGGGGCAGCGCGAGCCTCGTGTAGCCCGTGTGAGTCTTACTCTCCCGGGTTATGAAGCCCCTGCAAAGTCCAGGCCCTAGTTCTCCTCCAGCTTTCTACAGCAGTGTTCCGTCAGTGATGGCTGTAACTCCACTCCTGGGATTAGCGAAGAGTGCGCTATGCGCGTGGTGTAGACATGTAACAGTGTACATGGCGCTGTAATGTCCACTGTAACTTTCGACTGGATCTGAGGAGTATGGAAATATACCTGGCAAGAAGGTACATAACCATCTGTAAATATTTTGAACTCCTCTGAGCTTTACTTATCAAAACAAAAAGCTGCTAGGAAATCAGAGCGTATATGGCGTCGTCCTCCTCAGTTTCCTGACTTATAAAATAAGGCTGTTTGAATTGGGTGAGACCCTGAAATCTCTCCTACTGTGAAGTTTTAAGGCCTGTGGTTTAATATCATGGAGCAAACCAAGCTGCCTCGCAATCGAGAGAGCCCCATGGAAGAGTCTGTTCCACGTGCGGCCAGACCAGCTCTTTCCCGGGGAGAGACACCACCATCTCCTTCCTGCCATCTCCATACCATTGACTGACCATTGACTTCGAACTAGTCGGTTACGTCTTTACCCTGAGCTATTCTTTCAGATTTGTCAGCAGTGAAGGTCACATGGGGTAGTCATCTCTTTCTAAATAAAATAGCCCACTCTTTTCCCCATACCGAATTAGGAAAAATACAGGAAGTAATTTTTACCCCAGGTATGTGAAGCATCACCTGGTTTTGTCCAAATATGGCCCCAGTTTTCTCCAGGCTTGCCTCTGAAGACGAGAGCTCAGCAGCTCAGCATATCCCTATCCACCTTCTGCCTCCCCAGCCCTCACCCCCTTCCAGGCTGTGTTCCACCTCCTTCTCTAGGGACCTCCAGGGTTTCTCTTTCCACAGGTCTGTCTGCTTTCGCAGTTCTTGCCTTGCTTCCCCAAGTGCATTCCTGGTAGGTCGTAGGTATTCATTACTTTTTTTTTTTTTTTTTGGTCTTGCTCTTATAGGGAATCGTTCCCTGCTTGCTCATTTGGAAAAAGTGCAGTGCCAATGACCTGACCATCCCTGCTGTCTCTGATGCTGTCCCAAACAGTGCCCGTTCCCCAGCACACAGGGTGGAGCATTAAAGGAGTCGGCTGTTTTTATCCAGCATTCCTTTAGCAGATTAGTTGGCATGTTCTGAAGAGGAAGGCAAATTTAATCCAGAAAAGTATAAAAGTTCATGACCAGTCTGAGCAAATAACTGGAAAAAATAATCCTTTAAAAGGCTAAGAAGAAAGAGGTTCAAGGCTATTTCAAACACATGATCATCTTTTTAAATGTCAAATTCCACCCACGAAACTTCATGCTGTTGTTTTTACCACTCTCATGGTTTTTTTTAACTTTATATTTAATTCTTCTATTTTAAAACAGTGAAATCCCATCCCCCTGATTTCTCCAAACGCCAAGTATAACATGAGAAAATACCACAAAATACTCCGTGGGTAAAATGCAAACAGATTATGACCAAACATACTGGCTTTTCTGTCTTTGTTTTTCACCGGTTTGTTTTCAGAGCTTTGGGTTCTCCCTTTAACGTGGATAGAAACAGAGCACTACCTCTAAAACATCACCACCACTTGGTCAGGAAAGTCAAGAGGGGTCTGTTTTTAATTCAGTGGGGTTATCTTTTACTTGACATCTTAAGATACCTCTTTCATAAGGCGGTTGGTTGCTTATGATGGATAGGAGATTAGGAAGGCATGGTTGAAGAATTATAAACTTAAAAATAAAAGCTAGTTATCTTGATAGCTTAAGGTTGTCTGATAATATTCTTGAAGCTCATGGACCATATAACGCAGTAGCAAAAACAGTGCCTGGGAAGCCTTGTAATGAAAAGACCTGGATTCTATCATGAGAATTCAAGAAGTTCTTAAAAAATATTAAAGTATAGGTTTGGGGCTGGTAAGTGGCATGGTGGTTAAGGTGCTAGACTCCCTCATGGCGAACTACGGTTCGAGTCCCAGACCTGGTTGCTTGTTTTCTTACTTTCCCTCTCTCTCTGTCTTTCTCTGGTAAAATTAAAACATAAATAATAATAACAAAATAATCTTTAAAAAAAAGTATAGATTTGTTTGGTGCAAATTTTGTGTTCTTTGTTTGTTTTTGTTATTGTTTGCCAGAGAGAGAGAAGAAAAAGTAAGAAGTCACGCCCTGGGGAGATGGCCATGCTGCAGTCCCTTCTCCTCCATTCTCCTCTTGGAATTTTGGGTTCATACACACACACACACACACACACACACACACACACACACACCCCACACACACTTCAGGTGTGATTTTCAAGCCACTGGGTCCTGGATTCGAACCATGCAGTCAGCCCTGTCAGATCCAACACCTTAACCATCACACCACCTGCTGGCCCAGTGCAAAAAAAATGTTTGAAATCAACCAGTAGTTTTTTTCCTAATGTACATTTTCCATGAGCTTTTTAAGGGTCTGTCATAGTTTCAACTTTGGATCTGTCTAGCTTTGTGACTTTGAGGAGGTACCCAAACTTTGTGGGAAGCTATATTCCCATCCATAGAATAAGGAAGTGTCATTAAAACATTTCCAAGGTAACTTCCTGCTCTTAACATTCTCTATGTGGTTTCTTCCATTTGTTTCAGTGAGAGATGAGTGGATGTTTTCAGTTCATGCTGAATGGGAATTTGTTTTTTGACACAGTAAACTTGGTTTTACGAATACTTTATAAGTTAGGGTGTGTATTTTCCTCTGTCCTTCTATTTGGCTCCTCTACATGATATGCCATTAATTCCAACTGTCTCTGTGCTTCTAGGAAAAGATTCTCCTGTGGCTTCTTCAGTTTATGCAAGAGCAAGGCATCTCGTTGGATGAAGTAGACCAGGATGGCAACAGCGCTGTTCACGTCGCCTCGCAGCACGGCTTCCTCGGGTGCATACAGGTACAAGGCCCCACCATTGCACACACAGGACCTTCAGCGAGCAGTAAGGCAAACGTGGGAATGCTGTTCACTGGGAGAATGTCTGGATTAAATCAGCTTGTGTATCACACCAGACAAGAAGGAAATACACTGATACATTGGTATTTACAGAAATTCACACAGAGTCCTAACTAGCCCTAAGAGTTCCTCCTTGAGTGTCACAGGGGACTTAAAGGGAATTTATGGCCTCTCAGCATGACTGCAAAGTCCCAGTGCTGAGGACAATCGACATGACATACCCCCATGTCTTCCAGGGACATCGCTGCCAGGCCGACACCTCGGTCTCTCACCTTGTCCTCTCAAGGACCTCTCTCCTTCCCAAGTGCAGTTGCTCCTCAACCTGCAGGGGGTTAGGTCC